CTTGCAAGTAATGTAAAATAGGTAAAGCTTACAAGTACTGTAAGTAGATCAGGCTTAACTTTGCTAGTGTCTAGAGCCTTGCAAGATCAAATCAAGGCAGATTTTTGACTGATTTCTGATCGTGTTAGGACCCAGAAACCAGGATCTGATTCAGAATTTGCTAAAAATTTAGCACCACCGCTGCGATTTACATCCAACATTACAAATCTACATCCAAAAGCTTACAAGTACTGTAAGTAGATCAGGCTTAAGTAGGTAATGCTTACAAGTGCTGTAAGTAGGTATGGCTTACAAGTACTGTGGCTTGCAAGTACTGTGGCTGGCAAGTACTGTCGCTTGCAAGTACTGTGGCTGGCAAGTAGTGTGCCTTACAAGTACTGTGGCTTACAAGTACTATGGCTTACAAGTACTGTGCCTTACAAGTACTGTGACTTACAAGTACTATGGCTTGCAAGTAATGTGGCTCACAAGTACTGTGGCTTGCAAGTAATGTGGCTTACAAGTACTATGGCTTGCAAGTACTATGGCTTGCAAGTAATGTGGCTCACAAGTACTGTGGCTTGCAAGTAATGTGGCTTACAAGTACTATGGCTTGCAAGTACTATGGCTTGCAAGTAATGTGGCTCACAAGTACTGTGGCTTGCAAGTAATGTGGCTTACAAGTACTATGGCTTGCAAGTACTGTGGCTTCGCAAGTAATGTAAGTAGATAAGGCTTACAAATACTGTAAGTAACTCAGGCTTACAAATACTGTAAGTAGCTCAGGCGTACAAGTACTGTAAGTAGATGACGCTTACAAGTACTGTAAGTAGATAAGGCTTGTTGTTTTCATGTCGTATTTGAACTGAATCAAAAAGCATTTAAAAAACAATTTATATAGCTATGATATGCAATCTTTGTTAGGATAAAACATAGTAAAATGTGATTTTAAAGAAAATTACGAAAATGTTTGGAATTAAACTAAAGAAAATTGAAATTGAGAGAATTTATGCGAAATTCGAGGCACCGGTAATGCAAGGATTAAAGAAAATTGAAGAAAATTGAAGAAAATTGAAGAAAATTGAAGAAAAACATAAAATTTACATATTAAAATTGGGTTTATATAGGTTTATATGCTAGTTTTTCTTTAGAAATCACAATGAAAATTAGTACTTTGTGAAGGCGAGCGAATTTGGAGACAATTTGGATACAAATGGATCCAAATTTGGATACAAATGGTTACAATTTGGATATAAATGGATACAAATGGCTATAAATTGCAATTGCATTGCAATTGCATTGCAATTGCATTGCAATTTGCAAACAAATTCCCAAAAGAAACTACCGTAACGTTCACACAAAAGAGGTTAACCGAGATTTGTGAGTGAATCGACCCGTTTTTAAAGCAAAAAAGGCAAAAAAAAAACTTGTAAAGCTTTGGATACAAAGCAAGAAAATGAAAGAAAATAAAAGAAAATGAAAGAAAAATGGTTGAGGCTTAGGCTGACGTTTTCTCATTCGAAATGTCGTCTTCTTACTGGTTCATTTGGTGTTTCGTCTCCGCTTGCATAAGAGCGACGCCTTGTGCGCAGAAGATCCGCTAAACCGCTGAGCTCTCTGAAAATTGGAGATGAAAATCAGCTGATACAAATCAGCAGATAAAAATCAGAGGCTCTAGATCCTGGCCTTGTGCTCTGGCTCTAGATCTTGGCCTTGTGCTCTGGTTCTAGATCTCGGCCTTGTGCTCTGGTTCTAGATATTGGCCTTGTGCTCTGGCTCTAGATCTTGGCCTTGTGCTCTGGCTCTAGATCTTGGCCTTGTGCTCTGGCTCTAGATCTTGGCCTTGTGCTCTGGCTCTAGATCTTGGCCTTGTGCTCTGGCTCTAGATCTTGGCCTTGTGCTCTGGTTCTAGATCTTGGCCTTGTGCTCTGGTTCTAGATATTGGCCTTGTGCTCTGGCTCTAGATCTTGGCCTTGTGCTCTGGTTCTAGATCTTGGCCTTGTGCTCTGGTTCTAGATCTTGGCCTTGTGCTCTGGTTCTAGATATTGGCCTTGTGCTCTGGCTCTAGATCTTGGCCTTGTGCTCTGGCTCTAGATCTTGGCCTTGTGCTTCTGGCTCTAGATTCTGGCTTTAAAAGTACTGTACTTACAAGTTAAAGTCGTCGTACTACCTTCAAAGCCTTTCATTTCTCTTCTCATCATTCTACTTCCTTTCATTTCTCTTCTCATCATTCTACTACCTTTCATTTCTCTTCTCACTCACCTCGAGATGTCACTCAATTGATGTTCGATCGCTGTTATCCTCAAGCAGAGTCCCTCTTGTGTCGAATGGCTGTCTTGCACGAGCTCATACGTGTTTGATGTTGTCTAAATGTTGAAGAATTCAATTTGGTCTATGAAAATGATTCAAAATTGCTTAATTAGAGAAAAATCCTTTTCAGAACTCACCCTAGCCACATCACCGAGTGAGACGAAATTCTCCTGAAGCTTGCGTTGATCTCGTTTCACTTTTCGGAGGCTAAAAGTTGATTCTAAGCCAGATTCTAGGCGGGATTCTAAGCTTGGTTTGGAATTGGGTTAGAATCGGCTTAGAATCGGCTTAGAATCCGGCTTAGAATTAGCTTGGAATTCAGCTTAGAAACTAAGCCGAATTCTGATTCGATTCTAAACCGGGTTCTAAGCCGATTCTAAGCCAATTCCAAGCCAATTCTAAGCCAGATTCTAAGCCGATTCTAAGCCAATTCCAAGCCAGATTCTAAGCTGGATTCCAAGCCAATTCTAAGCCAGATTCTAAGCCGATTCTAACCCAATTCCAAGCCAGATTCTAAGCTGGATTCTAAGCCGATTCTAAGCCAATTCCAAGCCAGATTCTAAGCTGGATTCTAAGCCAATTCCAAGCCAGATTCTAAGCCGATTCTAACCCAATTCCAAGCCAACTCTAAGCCGGATTCTAAGCCGATTCTAACCCAATTCCAAGCCGATTCTAAGCCGATTCTAAGCCAGATTTATGCCTAATTGAATCAGGACAGTCAAAAGTTAAAGCAGCCAGACTTCAGCCTATAACCATCCTAACTATACTAGTCATAGCTATCGTTTTACAGCTAGGGTATTGTAAAGAGTATTGTAAAGCTCTGCTCTGTAACTCACTCATAAATAGCCACCAAAAATTTGCGTTGATGCAGTCGAATTCTAGCGGAATCGGGTTTCTCGACGAGGCGGCGATATTTGTAAATCAACCATGTCTCTCGAAGCACATTTGCCGCACTGTGTTTCAACTGAAATTTGAAATTGATTGATATTGAAAGTTAGAGCATAAAACAGTCTGCATTTGAAAGCTAACCAAGATTTCCCCTTACCCTTTTCGTCAATTGTGTTTCCATCATGAAATTGTGCACATGTTTCTCAGCTCTTGTTAGCTCCAGTTTACGAGCGATCACAGCAACGACCATCGACGAGGTGCACGTGCCCTGGAAGACGTTCAGTAATTTTGTTCTTTGTTTTTGTTTTTTGTTGCTCATATCAGCTGAAAATCTTATCTCTAGAATCGATCTGAAAGCTAACCAAGATTCCAGTGATCACCGCCATCGTTTTTCCGCAATAAGTGTGTGGAACAATGTCACCTGGAAGAATGCCATGAGCACATAGAACAAATGCCATAAATTTGACTACCATATTTTCCCCTAATAGTAGTGCACCCGGTGCCTAAACAGACAAGAAACTTGGACAAGCTAGGCCAAACTAGACCAAGTTAGGCCAAGCCAGACCAAGCTAGACCAAGCCAGGCCAAGCTAGACCAAGCTAGACCAAGTTAGGCCAAGCCAGACCAAGCTAGACCAAGCTAGACCAAGCTAGGCCAAGCCAGACCAAGCTAGACCAAGCTGGGCCAGACTAGACCAAGCCAGACCAAGCCAGACCAAGCCAGGTCAAGCTAGACCAAGCTAGACCCAAGCCAGACCAAGCCAGACCAAGCCAGATCAAGCTAGACCAAACCAGGCCAAGCTAGGGCCAGACTAGACCAAGCCAGACCAAGCCAGACCAAACCAGACCAAGCCAGGTCAAGCCAAGCCAAAACCTGTCTTCTGATCTAGCCCCGGTCTTCCCATTGTATAGAAAATACAGAGCTAGGATACCGTTCAACATACTCTAGCAAGAAAAAGAGTCCGAATAGTAAAAAAGTACTTTAAAGCGTACTAAAAGATAAGCTGTAATTCTCTTAATTAAAGTCATTAAAGTAATTTTTTTCTTTACCCTGTAACTATTAAACAAACTTTACTTATTAAAAAAGCAAGAAATTAGCATTTAAAACTATACTTACCGTAGCCAACTGAGAGAAACGTGACAGCAATCATCCATAAAGAATTCAAATATTGAACAGGTCGACCGTTTCGATTCGAATCTCCATCTAAAGCCTCACCAGCGTTCTCAAAATCGATCTCATTTCTGAAATTTTGAGTGATTAAACCAATAAGATACTTAATTTAAACTTTTAGCCAAACCTTTACCTTTCACAGAACCGTAAAATCCATCCAGCGGTGATCCAAAGCGCTCCAGTAAAAGCGATAAGTACTGTGCCTTAAATAAAATTCTATAAATGAAGAAAATAAAGCAAAAAAAAACTAGACAACTAGAATTCTAAATATAGAAAAAGTGTTATATAGTCTTTTTCCTCAGGCCGTTTGGTTACTGTCATAGCTGACTGGCTAAGAGACTGGCTAAGAGGCTGGCTAAGAGACTGGCTAAGAAACTGGCTGAGAGATTGGCTAAGAGACTTGTATCTTAGTTGAAAGGTAGAGGATTCAATCCCGATAGATCATTAGTTCTTTTCTCACAGATATATGGGTTCTTCTCTACATTTAGACTGTGCTTGTGCTTTGTTCATTATTCGTGTGTAGAGATGGATTTTGATTCGATCAAACCTGGGCATAGTGTCATCAGAGTTTTGAGGATGAAGCGCGCATTTGTGTTGACCCGATTGAGGCCGGCGATTGATCTGGAATTGAGGCAGATAGATTTTCTATAGAATTTCTATAGAATTTTGAGAAAACTCAATGATCTACACTCGTTTTCCTTACTGTAGTAAGCTAGTAAGTTAATTACTGTAGCTTAGACTGGTCTTAGTTAGCGAAAAGCTTCTAAAGTAAGCCTAAAAGTAAGCGAAAAAGTAAGCCTAAAAGTAAGCCAAGAAGTAAACCTAAAAGTAAGCCTAAAAGTAAGCCTAAAAGTAAGCGAAAAGTAAGCCTAAAAGTAAGCGAAAAAGTAAGCCAAAAGTAAGTCAAAAGTAAGCCTAAAAGCTTAGACTGGTTTTGGCTTACTTTAGAGTTTTGAAACTTTTTGCTATTGGATAGTTTTGTCCTCTGCAATTACTGTTGTCAAGTCAAGATCCAGTTTTCACAAGAGGCATCTAGTAGAGTTTTTTCAGGGATTCTGAATCTGCTTTTTAGTTTTTCTGGTACATTCCTGTAACGCGAGATATTTGGCATAGAAAATTTAGTCTTTTTCGGCTGGTTTAGAAGCTTTTCTCGTCCCCTGGTCATGCTGCCCTGATGGCCTAGTGGTTAGTGTAGCAGCGTTCGAAACTGTCATTGGTTCGTTCGCCAGTGAAAGGATTCGAACCAGGGGCAAAAATTGCCATCAGTTTCGAACGCGGCCACACTAACCACTAAGCCAGAGAATAGTTAGAAAATCAATGAAAATGAAATTACGAGAGTCTACTTTAATTTGATACCCAAAAACAAACGTACTGTTGTCAAGAGAGAGTTTATTTGAGAAGCTTAAACATCGAGAACTTAGAGAACTTAGGACTTAGAGAACTTAGAACTTAAAGAACTTAGAATTTAGAGAGCTTAGAACTTAGAGGACTTAGAGCTTAGAAAACTTAGAGCTTAGAGAACTTAGAACTTAGAGAACTTAGAGCTTAGAGAACTTAGAGCTTAGAGAACTTAGAGCTTAGAGAACTTAGAACTTAGAGAACTTAGAACTTAGAGAACTTAGAACTTAAAGAACTTAGAATTTAGAGAGCTTAGAACTTAGAGAACTTAGAGCTTAGAGAACTTAGAACTGAGAGAACTTAGAACAGAGAACTTAGAGCTTAGAGAACTTAGAATTTAGAGAACTTAGAGCTTAGAGAACTTAGACTACTAGACTACACTCCTTTAGACTTCTATTAAAGTATTTACGGTATTAAATCACATATTATCTCAACAAACCTGCTTGACGCATCAGTGAACAGTCGAGAGTGAAGTAACATCACTCGACACAACCAGTACAACCGAAAGAACATTCCCAATGAGAGAGCTACCTCCAAAGTGGCCCACGACTAAAATAATCCATATAGATTTCGACTTTTAAAGTGTACTTTGTGCTCAAAACTTCAGAAACACTCTCTTTCTAGCGCATTGAGCTCACTCACTTTTCTCATAGAAAGAAAGAAACAAAAAAGAAAGTTTTCTTATAGAAAGAAAAGTGTGCCGATTGCTGAAAAGTTTGTGTTTAGAGAATTTAAGCATAAAAGTACACTGGAAAAATCTATTAGCTAAATGCATAAGAAATGCGGATTTCAACATTTTCTTCAATTTCCAACGATAGAAAGCTGATATCGATGAATGTTTTGATGATGAATGTTGTAAACTATTTGAAAGTTGTAAATCTCCTCTACAAAATAGGCTAAAACGTTTTTCAATTGATCGAAGCATTGAAGAAATTTCGAGGCCGAAATGCGAGTGACCAAAAAAAAGGAATCGAGTCACTTTAGGGATAAGATTAGTGTGGTCAAACCGCCTTAGGTTGTATCGCCGGAAACGCTAAGACGACGATTAAATCAAGCTGGATTATATGCAAGAAGGGCTGCCCGTAAACCTCTGATGAATTTTGCCCGGGAAAATGGGATGCGGGAGAGGGATGTGGCCAACCTCTTCAATTGCTCGATATGGACAGTGCGCCGCATTTTTTCTCAATCAAAAGTCGGCAAAAACCTTCATCGAGGCCTCAAGAGTAGCCGACGACCAATCACAACCATAAAAAAAGATCGAGCCGTGATCCAAATGGTGAAAAACGATCCCAACAAAATGATGAGGGATCAATTTAACAAGGCTGTATCGCCGGAAACGATCAGACGACGATTAAATCAAGCTGGATTATATGCAAGAAGGGCTGCCCGTAAACCTCTGATGAATTCTAAGCACCGGAAGCAGCGCCTTGATTTTGCACGGACCTACCGAAGTTGGACAATAAGTGATTGGGCGAAAGTGCTATTTACCGATAAGACAAAAATCAATTTATTTCACGCGGACGGAAACCATCTTATTCGGCGGCCGACTGGCCAACGGCCAAAAAAGGAATCGAGTCACTTTAGGGACAAGTTTAGTGTGGGCAAAGTAGAGTTAGCTTCCCAAAATTGAAGATTTAAAATGAAAGGATAACTATATATGAATTCATTAAAAAAGTCTATCGGAAATGCATTCACAAAAATTTAGATAGAGCGTAAGTTCAAAACCCTCAAAATCATCAAAAAACTGGCTTTTTCACGAAAAAGAAAAATTATTGTAAAAACAAAGTTTTCCCATGAAATGATCCCAACTCTTAATTATTTTGAATTAAATTTTAAGGCGCTCATTTTCCACTATACATGGTAACCAAGAACCGCATTACCGCATTCATGAATTACCGCAACACACAAAAGGCTTAGGCTTTTAACCAAGTATGCAACCCATCTCGAAAAGCTAACTTAAATATTTTTATTCAACATATAACAGTAACAAATTAAGAATTAAATTCAAATTTGCCTCGATCGGCATTCAGACAGGCCTGCAAACGTTTGGGAAACGCGTTGACCGTGGCGAGCAAATAGGTACACTACTGGACAATGAAATATCATATTTGAAAAAAGATCATCACTTTTCGCGCGTCTGTAACTCCCTTGTCTTTACCGTATTTCTAAATATTAATATTACCATTGTGCAGCCCTTGAAAAGAGCTTTCAGAAAATGTATAACACTAATAGTTTAAACTCAAAGATAAAGGAGTTACAGACGCGCGAAAGTGACGATCGTTTTTCAAATATGATATTTCATTGTCCAGTATCATCGAGGGTATCCCATGCTTTGATGAGCGCCTTCTTCAAACTTTCGATATTTTTTTGTGGTTTTGCACATGCCCTGGCTTCAAGAACACTCCAGACTAAGTAATCCAATGGGTTAAGATCGGGTGAGCTGGGTGGCCACTCAGAAAACGAGATGAAGTCCGGGAAGGTCTTTGAACAAAACTCTTGCACTTTCTTTGCCTTGTGAGCCGGCGCACCATCTTGTTGATAGGTGACCACACGAAACTTGTCCCTAACTTTGACCATACTAAACTTGCCCCTAACTTTGACCACACTAAATGTGTCCCTAAGTTTGACAACACTAAACTTGTCCCTAACTTTGACCACACTAAACTTATCCCTAAGTTTGACCACACTAAACTTATCTCTAAGTTTGACCACACTAAACTTGTCCCTAAGTTTGACAACACTAAACTTATCCCTAACTTTGACCACACTAATCTTATCCCTAAGTTTGACAACACTAAACTTGCCCCTAACTTTGACCACACTAAATGTGTCCCTAAGTTTGACAACACTAAACTTATCCCTAAGTTTGACCACACTAAACTTATCCCTAACTTTGACCACACTAATCTTATCCCTAAAGTGACTCGATTCCGTTTTTGGTCACTTTTTGGTCACTCGCATTTCGCCCTCGAAATTTCTTCAATGATTCGATCAATTGAAAAACGTTTTAGCCTATTTTGTAGAGGAGATTTACAACTTTCAAATAATAGGTTGATGCATAAGTCTTTTCGTTTTTTTCGTACTTCTGTTAAAAAGTAACAAATTCACCAATTAATCTATAGTTTGCTCTATAAAAAAAGTGTTTTTTTTGTTCAATTTGCATCTTTTTAAATGAATTTCGGTTCACTTTCAAGCAAATTCGAGAGTGAAAAACGCCTTTTTCGTAAAAATCTATAAAAAACTCTACGGAAAAATTGGCTGAATGAATTTCTCTGAAATTTTGGCGAAATATCAAACGTTTTTTTTCTCTATCTTTTATCTATTGACACGAAGATAGGTTTTCTTTAGCTAAGGTGTCTAAACCGCACAACTTTGACCATACTAAACATCGAGTTAGCCCTTTTTGACTACCCGACTTCATACTCTCAAGAAAATCCAGGCATAAAATATTTTTAAACCCGTTTTAATGTTATTTTGCAGAAAAATAATTGGTTTTTCTAATGAAATTAGAAAGTTGCTTTTTTTGAACTAAAAACTTTACAGCATCGTCGCTTTGTCATTGATTTAGTCGAAACTTTCAAAATCCTCCGTTGTAAACAGATTAGCCCTTTGTTTATAGACTTTTTCAAATTTAAACCGCGGTCAGGGCCCAGAAGTGGCTCATTCCTTTTGCAAATTCCCTTTGCTTCCAATGCCTCTTTATCAAATTCATTTCCCGTTAGAGCCGCTAGATTATGGAACTTGCTCCCAAACGACATACGAGAAATTCAGTCGCTTTTCATATTCAAGAAACGTATCGATGCTTTAGATCTAGTGGCTCTTTGCCGTAAGTAATTGGCTTATTGATTTCAGTATGTATTGTATGATTAAGTATCACTGTGCATTTCTCTATGATTTCTTTCACTTTATCGTTTGAATAAAGTATTATTATTATTATTATTAGAAATCAACCGTAGTTTAATTGGTGCATTTGTTGGCTTGAAACGGCAGACGAAAAGGAACAAAAAGACTTATGCATCAACCTAATAGTTTATAACATTCATCGGTATCGATTCATCGATATCAGCTTTCTATCGTTAGAAATTTATCATTTTAAAGGTTGAAATCCACATTTCTTATGCATTTACCTAATAGTAAACTAGTAAACTAGTAATCTAATTTCACTAGTAAACTAGTAATCTAATTTCAAAAGTTCTAACTTCACTTCAACAATAGCTTTTCTTATCAAAAGAAAAGTTGTGCATTGGAAATAAATGTGATTGAGTTAAGTGTTTTTTTTTGATAGAAAAGAAACAAAAGAGAGAAATCAAAGTTTTAGAGAAATCAGAGAAGTTTATTTTCCCACAAGAATACCTCTTTTTGCTTAGTCGGTGCCTAGAAATTGGCATAATTCTAGAAATTAGATTTTAAAGTAAAATTATTTATTATTATTATTTAAGCTTTATTGTTTAAGCTTTATTTAAAAGTATTGATGAAAAATAATAGTTTTAACTCATATTCAGCATGTGTGGCTGACTGGTTAAGTGTCTTTTATCTTAATCGGAAGGTCGAGGGTTCGAACCCCACATGCGACACGGTCACCCCCTTCGGATTTCCTTTCCCTTCGGGTTGAGAGGTTTTCTGGAGGGCAGTCTGGTGGTTGTGGCCCCAGTTCTTTAAAGTGACAAGCCACTCCTTCATCGTCATCTTCCCTTCACCACCAAAAAAGCTATTTAGTTCCCCATTGAGCTTAGGGTTAGGGAGCCGTCTGTCATGACGTGGGTTAAGTTAAGATATAGCCTAGTATTGTGTGTGTCGTTGTATTGTGATTGATATATTTCGTGTATGCGATAAATTCACCACTGGTAGCCCCAGTCGGTATTTTTATATTCATTATTAAATTAAAGCAGTGTACCTCTCTAATCCGTTTTCTAATGAAAAAACTATTTTAAATCTAATCGAAAATGAAAATATAGAAAGTTTTTAATTGAAATAAGCTTTTTAAACTTAACAATCTGTTTTTAGATTTTAATATTGCTGATTTGATTAGAAATCAATTGGCTAGAGTGATTTGATGGGTTTACAAATTACAAATTACAAATTTGATGGTTTTAGAAACGTTTCAAAGCTTGGGAGAAAAGATGCAAGAGCGTTTACAGAGAAAAATCTTGGGAACGCATTCTAAAATGCACTAGCTACCGTAAGCCGAAATTTCCATTGCTTAAAGTCATTGTTTCTATTGCTTAAAGTCATTGTTTCTATTGCTTAAAGCAATTTTCCGTTGTTTTTATTCATTTTTCAACGTTTTTCTTTGCCATTTCATCGCCAATTCAGCAAGATTAATTCATCAAGATTTGGGGATGAAAGAAATGAAAGACTTTTGAAAGACTCACACTTTTGAACTCTCTTTGCCAGACCTCGATCGGCACCGGACACAACGAACAAGCCAACACTTCTGCACTGATCTAAAGAAAAAGAAACTCTTTCAGATCTAGAAAACCTTAAATACAATGTACAGTAGCATTTGCAATGTACAGTACAATGCACAGTAGCATTTAGAATGTACAGTACAATGTACAGTAGCATTTAGAATGTACAGTAGCATTTGCAATGTACAGTACAATGCGCAGTAGCATTTAGAATGTACAGTAGCATTTAGAATGTACAGTAGCATTTGCAATGTACAGTACAATGCGCAGTAGCATTTAGAATGTACAGTAGCATTTAGAATGTACAGTAGCATTTGCAATGTACAGTACAATGCACAGTAGCATTTAGAATGTACAGTAGCGTTCACAATGTACAGTACAATGCACAGTAGCATTTACAATGTATAGTAAATTTCAAAAGTCAAAAAAACTCGCTTAAAAACCCACGATAAAGATTCGCTTTGGCGTCAACGCTATTCGCCAATCCTCGGCCGCATTCGCGATCATGAATAACTAAAAAGTAGTTGAATGAATAGAGTACAGTAGACTAAAATAGACTAAAATAGACTACAATAGACTACAGTAGACTACAATAGACTACAATAGACTACAATAGACTAGAGTAGACTAAAATAGACTACAGTAGACTACAATAGACTATAGTAGACTACAATAGACCACAATAGACTACAGTAGACTACAATAGACTACAATAGACTACAGTAGACTACAATAGACTACAATAGACTACAGTAGACTACAATAGACTACAGTAGACTACAATAGACTACAGTACTCCCTTAAAAGCTATCAAATCGTACTGTACCTTAATTTTGATATAGTAGAAGAAGAAAACTTGTGTAAGCAAGGCGAACGTTGACAACAAAATGAGCAATTTGAGAGCGATGCTAGGAGAGCTTGACTGAAAGTTTAAAAGCTTTAAAAAGAAGACTAACTGGGTTACTGTAACTATATAGTATAATTACCGTAAATACTGTAATAGTACCCCACCCCCCACGTACAGTCGCGTAGTCGCAAAAGCTTTTTCAGTATTTTATTTTTTTCAAAGCGCCCGTACTTTCAAAAAATGCGTCTTTGGTATCAAAAAATAGCTGAAATTCAGAGCTATTTTTTGATACCTAAACGAGCATTGTAGCATAAACCAGTGTCGAGAAAAACTCGTTCAAAGCTAGACTACGCGATGCTCCGGCCGTCATTATAAACTGATGACGAGAAAAATGCGTTTAAAGTTAGGCTACGTGATGCTCCGTCTTTTGATATCGAAAAATAGCCCTGAATTTCAACTATTTTTTGATACCAAAACAAACATTGTAGCATAAAGCAGTGTCGAGAAAAACTCGTTTTTTCGGGATGGTTGCATAGTCTAACTTTAAACATCCCGTTCTCTGCGCTGCTTTAAGCTACAATGCGCACTTTGGTATCGAAAAATAGCCCTGAATTTCAGCTATTTTTTGATATCTAAACGAGCATTGTAGCATAAACCAGTGTCGAGAAAAACTCGTTCAAAGCTAGACTACGCAACGCTCCGCACCGTCATTATGGGGGCGGGGTACTATTACAGTATTTACGGTAATTATTACAATTAATAGAATACCGTAATCTAGAGTTTATCATCTTCTAGATTTCCTTAAAACTTTTCAAAATCAAAAACCTTTTTGATGACATCATTCGCTCGTAGCTCGCTCTCTAGAATCATCAAAACTGAAAACTTTCATTGTTTATTATGCCAGAGAGGGTGCGTTTCTGGATTTAAAGAGTATACGGTAGCTTTGGGTATACGATGCGAAAGAACCAACAACACGAGTGCATTCAGGTTATGCAGCACGTGTGAATTGTGCCTTGGTCGTCAGCCACCTTGTGTTTTATGTCCGGTGATTAGAGGAGCGATGAAAAGGACTGATATTGGAACTTGGGCACATATTGTTTGCGCATTGTTTCATCCAGAATGCACGTGAGTCTTATAGCTTTGTCGATATAAACGGCAAGTTTCGACCGTTCAGATCTCAGTTTCTAGAAAAGCTATCAATCTGAAAATTGTTTCATTGGAAAGCCAAGAATGTGAGCTTTTGATTGCTATTTTATAAATAACGACTTTTAATGAGTAAACACCTCATAAATCTTATCGATACTTATCGCCATCGAAAGTATCGATTATCGATAAGTATTGATAGCTTAGCTTACTCATTTCAACGCCAATCAACTATGAGAATTTGCTATGTCTAAAATAGCAATCAAAAACCGAAATTCTTGGCTTTTCAATGAAACAATTTGCAGATTGATAGCTTTTCTAGAAACCGAGATACCGTATACCCAAAGATTGCCGGTTTGAGCCGAAGCTCATCATTAGACAAACTTTATACCCAAAAATCCAAAAAACACGAAATTCTTAGTGTTTCCGCAGAAATAACATAAGAAAATTAAAGAATTCAGTTCGCTAGAAAGGCTGCGTTTGCAAATTTGAGTTCAAAGTGCACGTCCGAATCCAATTTGAACGATTGAATCAGCAATCTTGTGTATATTTTCGTTTGCCAGAAGGCACACGTTTACGCCTTACAATTACCTTAGACAAGTGTACTTTGTGCTTATAAACGCAGCCTTTCTAGTGCACTGAACTCTTCACTTCTTCAAGTGTGTAGAAAAATTGAAGACTCAGTGCGCTAGGAGACGTGCGTTTACCAGAGAGCACAAAGTACACTCGAAGAATAAAGGAGACGCGTAAACGCGAGCGTTCTGGCGCACTGAATTCGTCAATTTTCCGCAGGGTTGTTTGGAAAAATTGACGAATTCAGTGCACCAGAAGACTTGCGTTTACTCGTCTCCTTTATGCTTTGAGCGTACTTTGTGCTCCCGGGTAAACACACGACTTCTAGTGCACTGAACTCTTCACTCGTACTTTGTGCTCTCTGGTAAACACCCGTCTTCTAGTGCACTGAACTCTCCACTCGTTTACCAGGGAGCACAAAGTGTGTAGAAAAGTTGAAGATTCAATGCGCTAGAAGACTTGCGTTTACCAGAGAGCACAAAGTACGCTCAAAGAATAAAGGAGACGTGTAAACGCGAGCGTTCTGGCGCACTGAAATTTTCACTTTTCCGCAGGGTTGTTTGAAAAAATTGACGAATTCAGTGCACCAGAAAACTTGCGTTTACCAGAGAGCACAAAGTACGCTCAAAGCATAAAGGAGACGTGTGAACGCGAGGGTTCTAGTGCACTGAATTCTTCAATTTTTCGCAGGCTAGCGTGGAAGAATTGACGAATTCAGTGCGCTAGAAGACTTGCGTTTACCAGAGAACACAAAGTACGCTCAAAGCATAAAGGAGACGTGTAAACGCGAGCGTTCTAGTGCACCGAATTCTTCAATTTTCCGCAAATTGTATAGAAAAATTGAAGACTAAGTGTGCTAGAAGACTAGCGTTTAGACTAACGACCCGAGAGCACAAAGTACAAAGAATATTTGCGTAAAACTCTCACCAATTCCAACAATCGCAAAAGCAAGCGCTCTATCACAAGTTTGGCGTCTTTTTTCGTAGTATTGCTCTCTGTGCAAGAGTCGACCGCCCCTAAGAAATTGAATTTTGGAAAATTTCCCTTTTTTTCGAGGCAAAAACCCACTCAAAATCATATCTATGAGTGAAGCACACCGATTAAAAATTTGTTCGACAAAAAATTTTTAGTGTTTTTTTTTTTTTTGTTTTTGTTTTTTTTTGTTTTGTTTACAAAAATCCTAAGAAAATTTACCATTCTGTGTTTAGCAGCTTTTCGGCAATTCTGAAATGGAATTCATCTTCTCTACGTCATCTAATTCATTTTTGGGATCACCCTACCTACACAAACCTTTACCTTTAGCATTTACCGTATTCGTCGCCAGAAAAAAAGAGATGGAAACAGAACTATGAGAGTTTTGAGCATCTTTTAGAAAATAGATAATAAATAGATCTCTCTAAGCAAGATAACTACAGTACACCGATAAAATGTACTGTAGTTGTCTTGTACACCGACAAAGTGTACTGTAGCTTCAGTCTACTGTAAGAAGTTTTCAGCCGATTACATTCGTTTTATCGACGGCACTAAAGCCGACATGTTAAAGCTTTATTTGGTTCGGAGGAGCCACTTTTGGTGTGGCCCAGGTCATACCCATGGCCCAGGTCATACCCATGGCCCAGGTCATACCCAGGTCATACCCATGGCCCAGGTCATACCCATGGCCCAGGTCATACCCATGGCCGAGGTCATACCCATGGCCGAGGTCATACCCATGGCCCAGGTCATACCCATGGCCCAGGTCATACCCATGGCCCAGGTCATACCCAGGTCATACCCATGAGATCCTGTACTAATTTCAGTGCTAATTTCCTCATACCCATGGCCCAGGTCATACCCATGGCCCAGGTCATACCCATGGCCCAGGTCATGCCCAGGTCATACCCATGGCCCAGGTCATGCCCAGGTCATACCCATGAGATCCTGTACTAATTTCAGTGCTAATTTCCTCATACCCATGACCCGGGTCATACGTTTAGTTGCATCGAATATACCGAGCAAGATTCGTAGATTGCCAACGGCAAACTGACCAAAAAAGGGGCGGAGTTAACATGGCTAATCTTAGCTACGGTATGCTTAAGGCATTTTTTTTTAAAAAACTTTATTATAAATCTTCAAGTTTCAGTGTACTGTAAGAAGTTTTCAGTCGATTACATTCGTTTTATCGACGGCACTAAAGCCGACATGTTAAAGCTTTATAAGCTGTAAATGAAAAGAAAAGAAAAAGAGAAAACAAGGGTTTTTTTTTCTGTTCGACTCACTGTTTACTTTCGTGTTCTCTCATTAAAGGCGTCTCTGAGTCGTCTCCTTTTTGAGCCTCAACATCGTTGCTCAAAACGAGTGAAATCGATTTCTTTGATGATTGCTCACCTAGAAAATTGTAAAGTAAGGCTGGATATTAGCTAGTTCTTAGCTCTTAGCTAGTGCTTAGCTAGTGCTTAGCTCTTAGCTAGTGCTTAGCTCTTAGCTAGTGCTTAGCTAGTGCTTAGCTCTTAGCTCTTAGCTATTTTACGATAGTGTGCACTTTTTGATTACTCTGGCTATACTTTTTGGCTTAATTACTCAATGAAATCGTTCTTTTTGGTTTATTTACTCAATCAAATCATTCTTTAAAGCCTAAACGGATATAATTTGGGACTGAGAAGTGAAAAGCTATTTTTTTTGACACAATATAGTTATTTTTATGGTTTATTTACTCAATTAAATCGTTCCTTTTGGTTTATTTACTCAATTAAATCATTCTTTTTGGTTTATTTACTCAATTAAATCATTCTTTTTGGTTTATTTCCTCCATTAATCATTCTTTTTGGTTTATTTACTCAATTAAATCCTTCCTTTTGATTTATTTACTCAATCAAATCATTCTTTTTCATCTATTTACCCAATTAAATCATTCTTTTAACCCTAAATTGACTCCATTTGGGAAACTGAAGAACAAAATAAACACAATCAATCAATCAACATTTCTCGCAATTTTATGACAAGTTACAGTAACGGAAATGAAGCTAGAATGCCAGAAATGTAAAGAGTTTTATCTAAAAGATAAATCACAATCGTTTCTCCAAACCGGCAATCCATCCAAGCCCTTGTGGGCCAAGAATTCTCCGCATCAGTGCCGCCTCACGACTTGGCAAAATCGCCATCGATGATCGCCTTTGTGGAGAGGCCATTTGAGCAGATAATAGATTTTTTGTGGGAAAACAGGCTTCCGAATTGCTTCTTTGATTCAGTGTCGCTAATCTAAAGGCTTTATTTTATCTTTAAAAACCCGTAAAACCTAGTCAAAAGTCAGTCAAACATTTCAAATCAATGAAAATTGTTAATTGAAGACTTCGCTTCACTGGCTGGAGCTTTAAGCTGAAGCTTTAAAAGCTGTAGAAGCTTGAAAAGCTGTAGAAGCCGTAGCTTTAATGGCTTTAGAAGCTTTAAAAGCTATAGAAGCCGTAGCTTTAGAAGCTTTAGAAGCCGTAGCTTTAAAAGCTTTAGAAGCTGTAGCTTTAAAAGCTGTAGAAGCCGCAGCTTTAAAAGCTATAGAAGTTGTAGCTTTAAAAGCTGTAGAAGCTTTAAAAGCTGTAAAAGCTGTAGCTTTAAAAGCTATAGAAGTTGTAGCTTTAAAAGCTATAGAAGCCGTAGCTTTAAAAGCTGTAGTCCAATTGATTCAATGAAATCGAATTGATCAAAAACTAGAGTAGATTACGATCTCAGTGCATTTACGAAAACGAATTCATTTCACTGACCTGAATCGACTCGGATCTCGACATCCCAGCACTGATCCAGCACAATCTCTTCCATATGGATCATAAACATATTCCCTTGAATCCCTGATCACTCCATAGTGATTACAGTAATCTCTTGGTGGTGATCGATGTGAGCTTTTCCTTCGCAACGATTGTCGATGATTTCTCTGATCAAACATAAAGCTAGAAGAAGCTGAATGGGAAACGAGAGAGGATTTGGCGGAGAGAGCTGGTGAAGCCGGCACATCAAAGGAGAGCTTAAAAGAATTGGGGATTGGATTGGGATTGGATTGGGATTGGGGATTTCAATTGATTTTCTAACTTTTACTTCTAACTTACTTCTAAGATTGGACCTCGAAAAGCGACGTTTACTTTGGACATTGAGAAAAAACTGATGTCAAATGACTTTTTGCTGAACTAGGCTTTACTTTTGACCTAATAGGTAGATGTTGGCTTTGAGTGGGGATCAGGTTACAGAAATTTCATTCCTCAGCTTCTATTGTTAGGGGAATTGTGGCTTGATGTGTGTTGCCCTTTGGAAAGGAAAATTGATTGCACTTTTCAATGTAATTGTTAAAATTCAGGGTAGGTTCCTAATCAAGTCTTGCTTTGGCTTGGGTGTACGGTAGCTGAGGCAGACGATAGCTCAGGCTACGGTAGGTCAGGCATACGATAGCTCAGGCTACGATAGCTCAGACTACGGTAGCTGGGACAAACGGTAGCAGAGACTATGGTAGCTGAGACAGACGATGACCTAGGCCACGGTAGCTGAGGCAGACGATAGCCCAGGCTATGGTAGCTGAGGCTGACGATGGCTCAGGCTACGGGAGCTGAGACAGACGATAGCTGAGCCTACGGTAGCTGAGGCAGACGGTAGCTCAGGCTACGATGGCCTAGGCTACGGTAGTTGAGACAGACGATAGCCCAGGCTACGGTAGCTGAGGTAGACGATAGCTCGGACTACGGGAGCTGAGACAGACGATAGCTCAGACTACGGTAGCTGAGACAGACGATGACCTAGGCCACGGTAGCTGAGGCAGACGATAGCCCAGGCTATGGTAGCTGAGGCTGACGATGGCTCAGGCTACGGTAGCTGGAGCAGACGGTAGCTCAGGCTAGCTCAGCTTTGGGTGTACGGTAGCTTTGGGTATATAGTAGGGATACGGTAGTTCGGGCACAGAAGTTCTCCTTCGTTTAGAATTGGAATTGAGTTTCGAATTTCTTTTGCTATTCATCTTCATCACAAACCTGTTTCGGTGATGAGCCCAATTTATGCGCTTGTCGGGAGCTGAGAATGCCGCGAACGGGCAATGAGAGAGCTGGTTGTGAAGGACTTCCACCCTATGATATTGGTATTATTGGCTTGTTCGCTAGGCTTCCAAAAAACGTCCACTTTCTCTTAGACAACCGTAATCTTGTCTCTATTTTTATTGAATAAAAATAGAGACAAGATTACGTTTAAGAAAAGGGGGCACGTTTTAGAAAACGTGACAAAACCAATGCGCGATCAGTGCGCGATCGGTGTGCGATCAATGCGCGATCAATGCGCGATCAATGCGCGATCAATGCGATCAGGGCGCGATCAATGCGCGATCAATGCGCGATCAATGCGCGATCAATGCGCGATCAATGCGCGATCAATGCGCGATCAATGCGCGATCAATGCGCGATCAATGCGCGATCAATGCGCGATCAATGCGCGATCAATTTGAGCAAACCTGTGAACCGTTTCGACTCGGTGATCCATTCGGTGATCCGTTTGGTGTCGTTTTTCCATTCGATGTTTGATTGGAAATTGCTCCAGTCGGGTAATCGGGATGGAGTGAATGGTTGGAAATGACGGTCGTCGACGAGGTCGTCTTTTTCAGCGCTACTCCCAAGCCAGCGAAATCGTTGGTGTACCAGCTGGTGTCCATTTGAAAAAACTAAACGTTTTATCTATTGATATTTCATTTTTGAATGAATAGAAAGCTTCTAAATGAATAGAAAACAAAATAAAATAAATAGAAAAAAGCCTAAACGCATTAAAACGATTTAAAAGTCGCTCAAAGTCGGAGAAAATGGGTCTCAAAACTTCAAAATCACTGTAATGACTTTAAACAAAGAAAAGATAGCTTTAAAATTTAGTATTTGAAAGATCTAATAAGCTAAAATCAAGATTTAATAGAGCATAGAGAAAATTTGAGTCAAAGTTGAACTCGAAAAAGTCGATCCACTTAGATGGTCTATAACTCAAGGTATAGTGGCTGAATGAGCTTTTCGTTGCTATCAATGGAATCTTCATTAAATTTGGCTATAGAAAAGTAGAATTTGTTTTGTATACTCATGTATAAGAACATAGAGAAAATTTGGGTCAAAGTTGAACTATTGGGTTGGGGAGAATGAGTCGGCGCCAAACTTTAAAGGGACTTTTTGCACACATAAAGCCTTCTTTAAACATACGTTTGGTTTCATCAAAAGGATCCACTATTTCTCTACAAAATGACCTTTGAGAGATTCCACAAAGCTTTTCTTTCGTGGAGTTTATGAACTTCCAAACGCAGCTGGTTAAAATGGCAAAGAGTCCGACTCATCATTTGAACAGTTTCTTTCACATAAACCTTCTTTGGTGTTTATATAAAAAAGATAGAGCACATTCAATTACTTAAGTTGCCAAATTTGCAGGAAGATCCCACCAATGGTTTTTTCTAGATGACAGTTTGTAGTTTTTGTGAAAAAATGGCTTTTTCTTGAGCGGAGGCGCTGTTTGAATTTTCTTTTAAATGTCATTTTGTAGAGAATTAGTTAACCATTCTACTCATATCAAAAGCATATTATTTGACGAAGTCGAATAGAAGTTTTAGGCATTTTTTTTGATTTTCGGCGCCGACTCATTCTCCCCAACCCAATACTTACCGGCAAAAGTTGATCAAGTCGGAGTTTGTGGACTTGTCTATTTTACTCTATAACTCGACTTTCAATTCTCAGATCGACTTGAGATTGGCTTAAAGATGATCTTTATGAAATTTGGTTATAGAAAACCACAATTTACTTAGTACACACTAGTGTAAGAACATAGAGAAAGTTTGAGTCAAAGTTGAACTACCTCCTCGAAAAAGTCGATCCACTTAGATGGTCTATAACTCTTGATATAGAAGCTCAATCAACTTATGGTTAATTTTCTGGTGAAGGCGGCAAAATAGCTAGCATTGTCGACAAGAAAAAAAAAATATATATAATCAATCAGAGTTGGTAGGAAAGTGTTTTGAAAAGCGCAAATTTAGCGCAAATGAAATTGGCACAAAAGATTTGGCGCAAATGATCCGTGGCGCAAATAATTTGGCGCTTTTGCTTAAGCCCCCTTACTGTTAGAGGTATTACGGTAGTATCTACGCAATTAAAAAAGTTACTTAAAAATAGTTTTCTAACAGTTGATGAGGGGAAAAAGTGCGTAAAAGTCAAAAAGTTAGGCAAATATTTTTTTCCAAAAATAGATTAAGAATTAATTTTTAAAAGTGTTTTAAGTTCGGAAAACTATTTTCTAATCAGGTTTTATAGTCTAAATCTAAAAGCCATTTCAAAAATCGAAAAGAAAAGTAGAAAAAGTGACAACAAAGTTTTAAAATTTTAATATAAAATGAAAATTGCAAGAAAATTGCTTTTGCTAGCACCTCAATAGCAACGTCCCCCTCCCCCATAATGACAGTCGGAGCGTCGCGTAGTCTAGCTTTGAACACTTTAAAGCTGCTTATGGAGCGTCGCGTAGTCTAGCTTTGAACACTTTAAAGCTGCTTATGGAGCGTCGCGTAGTCTAGCTTTGAACACTTTAAAGCTGCTTATGGAGCGTCGCGTAGTCTAGCTTTGAACACTTTAAAGCTGCTTATGGAGCGTCGCGTAGTCTAGCTTTGAACGCTTTAAAGCTGCTTATGGAGCGTCGCGTAGTCTAGCTTTGAACACTTTAAAGCTGCTTATGGAGCGTCGCGTAGTCTAGCTTTGAACACTTTAAAGCTGCTTATGGAGCGTCGCGTAGTCTAGCTTTGAACGCTTTAAAGCTGCTTATGGAGCGTCGCGTAGTCTAGCTTTGAACACTTTAAAGCTGCTTATGGAGCGTCGCGTAGTCTAGCTTTGAACACTTTAAAGCTGCTTATGGAGCGTCGCGTAGTCTAGCTTTGAACGCTTTAAAGCTGCTTATGGAGCGTCGCGTAGTCTAGCTTTGAACGCTTTAAAGCTGCTTATGGAGCGTCGCGTAGTCTAGCTTTGAACGCTTTAAAGCTGCTTATGATGAAATGTTTTGGATTTGGAACGGTTTTTTTGAAAGATTGGAACTCAGCGATTATTGTGTAATTGAACCAACACTCTAGTGAAGTTTTGGCTTGCCAGATGGCTTGCGTTTACATTTTGTAGTGGAGTTCTTTCTTAGCTTTGTACTTTGTGCTGTTCTTTGTGCTGTTCTTTGTGCTCAAGTTTAAACGCAAACTTTCAAGCGCACTGAATTCTTCATTGCTCTCTTGAGCTTGAGAAAATGAAGACTATAAGAAAATGAGGAATCCAGTGCGTTTGAAAGTGTGCGTTTAAACTTGAGCACAAAGAACAGCACAAAGAACACAGCACAAAGTACAAAGCGAACAAAGAACTCCACTGCAAAATGTAAACGCAAGCCATCTGGCAAACCGAAACTTCACTAGAGTGTCGGTTCAATTACACAATAATCGCTCAGTTGCAATCTTTCAAAAAAAACGCAAGCCACGCAAGCGAAAGTTGAGCTCAAAAAAGCGCACAAAGAACGCACGTAAACGCAAGTGCTCTAGCACACGGCTTTCAAGAGATAAAAGCCGGTTCATTTAGTTCATTTAGTCGAAATGATGAATTTATGTGCATTGGAATGGATGTGTTTACAGATTTGAGCAAAAGAAGAAGCTATACTTGCTGAAACCTTTTCAATAATCGATCAAAGACTCAGAAATGACTAGATGAAGCCAAAAATTGCCAAAAATCCCCAAAAATCTTCCATAAACCCTAACTAATCCCATAAAAATTGGCAAATTGGCGTTTTTTTTCTGATAATCCAAGGATTATTGGTCACGTGAAAAGAAAAAAATCAAAAAATCAAGAAAATCAAGAAAATAGACACGTTTTGTGAAACGTTTTTCTTAAAAACGTCTTTCAAAACGTTTTGACGTTGGAGAAATCGAAAAATTCACTTTTTCAGCCTGTCAAATCAACTCAAAACTTGACAATTTTTGAATAAAAAACAACAAAAATAAGAAAATAATCGTTTAGTTAAGTTTTCGATTAGTTAAGCCTTATAGAGCCAAATCTTATAGAGCCAAAGGGAATTAGCCATTGTTTTTGATTAGCAATGATCTACATTTTGCTCATGCCCAGGCCTGGCCCTGGTCTAGCTCCTGTGGCCAGGCCTGGCCCTGGTCTAGCTCCTGTGGCCAGGCCTGGCTCTGGTCTAGCTTCTGTGGCCAGGCCTGGTCCTGGTCTAGCTTCTTTGGCCAGGTCTGGCGATGGTCTAGCTTCTGTGGCCAGGCCTGGCCCTGGTCTAGCTCCTGTGGCCAGGCCTGGCCCTGGTCTAGCTTCTGTGGCCAGGCCTGGCCCTGGTCTAGCTTCTGTGGCCAGGTCTGGCGATGGTCTAGCTTCTGTGGCCAGGTCTGGCGATGGTCTAGCTCCTGTGGCCAGGCCTGGTCCTGGTCTAGCTTCTGTGGCCAGGCCTGGCCCTGGTCTAGCTCCTGTGGCCAGGCCTGGCCCTGGTCTAGCTCCTGTGGCCAGGCCTGGCCCTGGTCTAGCTCCTGTGGCCAGGCCTGGCCCTGGTCTAGCTCATGTGGCCCGGATCTAGGCCCTGATCTAGCTCCTGTGGCCCTCCTGTGACCCGGATCTAGGCCCTGATCTAACTCTAATGCAATGATCTACATTTTGCGCATGGATTTCATTCAAAATGATCAAATGGGTGATCAAATGGGATCAAATGGATGCGCAATGAGCTACAATGAGCGATTAGCGCTATAAACGACAAAAACCAGACGACAAACTCTTGTAGAAACGCGTAGAATAAAGCTTTTTGCAAAGTTTTTTGACGAAAAAATTCCGCTATTTTTAGGCTTTTGAATGCCACAAAAATCAAGAAAATCCATCATTTTTACGTCGAGAAAGAGCTCTTGTAGTCTCGTCCCATGCAACAAGACTACAAACCTCGAAAAAAACGTTATATCTCAGCATAGAAAACAAGATTTGGCATGTTTTTGGTGTCGTTCGAAAGCCTAAACTTGGTTCGATTTTTTGGTAAAAAAAGTTTTACAAAATCTCTATTCTACGCGTTTCTACAAGAGTTTGTAGTTTGTAGTTTGGCCTTCTAGTTTATAGCGCTCATGTCTAGTTGGGAAAAGCCATTTGCTGATTTCATAATTCTTATCTGTTAGATTTTCCCGTGAACAGAGTTCCAAAGGCTTATGTCAGGCTGGAAAATCAGAAACTTTGCCTAGATCCTTGTCTAGAAAGTTAAGATATCAAATAGCTCAGTTTTTAGAGCAATTGGTTAGAGCAATTACTTGAAAAGCGAAAGGTTAAAGGTTCAATCGCCTCTCTAGAAATCATTGGCAGAAATTATTGGATTTACTACTGACTCAAGCTGAAGCTAAAGATGAAGATAAAGATGAAGCCAAAGCTGAAGCCAAAGCTGAAGCTAAAGCTGAAGCTAAAGATGAAGCTAAAGATGAAGATAAAGATGAAGATAAAGATGAAGCCAAAGCTGAAGCCAAAGCTGAAGCTCAAGCTAAAGCTCAAGCCAAAGCTGAAGCCAAAGCTGAAGCTAAAGCGCAAGCTGAAGCCAAAGCTCAAGCCAAAGCTCAAGCCAAAGCTCAAGCCAAAGCTCAAGCTCAAGCTAAAGCTCAAGCCAAAGCTCAAGCCAAAGCTCAAGCTGAGCTCTTGGAACAGA